GGAAGTTGGAAGATCTAAGATTAAAATTTGGCTTTTGATTTTTAAAGCATGTATGGAGGAGTGTTTCTTTACAACTCCTACATATTATCAATTTACTGGAAGTATGTAATATTACAAGTTTTAGTTAAATAAAAAAATTAATAATTAAATAATATATAAGAGACTGTAGAAAAAATTTTGTATACAAATGTTATTTTTTAATTATTTTTCATTCACCGTTTTAGATATATTAAAAAAGATTTATCTTTTTTTAAAAAAAAAATTTAAGCTCTATTTGAGATGATTGTTTAAAATAATTGATAATTATAATTATTAATTGATAGGTGATATTTCATTTGAAATCAACCTATAAAAATATTTCTCCAAGTATTATACTAAGTAGCTGTTTAATTAAAAGCAACTATATATAGATTGTTATTCAAAACAAACATAAACCTAATAATTTTTATAATTTTTTAAAATATTTTATATAAATATATTATTTTATTATTTAAATTATACTAAATTATAAAATAAAAACTTTTAAAAGAGAGAGGCCAAAGTTTTTTTGTTTTCATATTTACGGCATTTTATATGAATGAGATTTAGAAATTTTTTTAAATAGAAAAAATGACTGCAAAAGTTGTCCAAACGCGTTCTCTCTCTCTTTTAGGTACTTAATTAAAAAGTTTTAAATTTGGTTGGCTTTTTTTTGTACCTACATTAGACAGCAAATGATAAGAAGACAGGTGAGTCACCTAATTGACCAATAGGATTCCACAGCCGATGGCATCGCTTTGACCAAACCTCCTTTATCAACGACCTTCTTCTCCCCATTTTTACACTTTTCTCTTCTTTCATGGTGTGGGTGCAGATATGGCTGTGGACCTCTTGATGAATTACAGAAACGGAAATTTCACCGCAGAAATGGAAGATAACGTAGTTCAAGAGGCCGCGTCCGGGGTCGAGAGCGTCCAGAAACTCATCAGGTTGCTATCTCAAAACCAACAGCAGCAACAGAATAATCATCAGGACAAGCCTTCAAGTTCCACAAGATCCGCCATGGAGTTGGATTTGGACTGTAAAGCTGAGGCGGACGTCGCAGTTTCCAAGTTTAAGAAAGTGATTTCCCTCCTGGGTCGAACCAGAACCGGGCATGCCCGTTTTAGACGAGGCCCTGTTGTCCCCCCTTCTGCATCATCTTCCCCTGTTAGCCTGAAACAAGAAACAGAGCAAGAAACTAAAGTTTTTCATGCAACACCGATCCAGCAGATTCCGATACCGGTTACTTTTCCTCAACGGGATTTCTTGATGGGTAAAAACATGAGATTGGAGACAAAAGATTCATCCACTACCATAAATTTTTCATATTCTTCAGCTGGGAATTCCTATGTGTCGTCCCTGACTGGAGATACTGACAGCAAGCAGCCGTCCTCTTCTGCCTTCCAGATTATGAATCTTTCTCAAGTTTCTTCAGCTGGAAGGCCGCCGCTTTCTTCTTCTTCTTCATTTAAGAGTAAGTGTAACTCCGAGCACTTGGGTTCCGGCAAGTGTGGGAGCTCTTCTAGTAAATGTCATTGCTCCAAGAAGAGGTAAATGCGACTTCAATTCTTAAAATTTCGCCCTAATTTATCATATTTAAGCTTGAATATTGACCTTTTTCTGTTTTTCTTTTTCCTGTTTTTGTTGCAGAAAGCTGAGATTGAAGAGAGAGGTAAGGGTTCCGGCAATAAGCTTGAAGATGGCTGATATTCCACCGGACGATTACTCCTGGAGAAAGTACGGGCAGAAACCCATCAAAGGATCTCCTCATCCAAGGTAAATATCAACTTTATCGCTCTGAAAATTATAAATTTTTTTTTGAATCCATCTCTGTTTTCTCTAACTCTGTTTCTATCATTAAACAGAGGGTACTATAAATGCAGTAGTGTGAGAGGATGCCCAGCTCGCAAACACGTAGAGAGGGCCGTTGATGATCCAACAATGCTCGTTGTCACCTACGAAGGCGAGCACAATCACTCTCTCAACATCGCCGAGACTGCTGCTCTGATCCTCGAATCATCATGAAACAGAACACATCTGTCATTGCTTCAACATTGACAATGATCCAGTTCTTCATGAACAGTTACTGTAGCAGTATAATACATAAGCTGAAGTTTAGTAAACCCAAAAAAAAAAAAAAAAAAACTCAACTTCATCTCGAAGGAGATTTAGTGGGTTTGTTTGTTCATTCCCTGTTCCACCATGTGCAGGTTCAAAGCATATTTTTCTTTATGCAAAACCATTGTCATTTGTCATGATGAATGAAAAGAAAAAGTGGTGGATTTGGTATTAGATTTCCCTTTTTGTTAATTACTTTGTCTTTGATTTCTCTTTGATTTCTCGTTTTTTGGATGCCTACGTCTTACTTTTTTATTGCATTAGTGGAAGCAATTTGAATTCCAATACAGAGAAAAACTGTGTAAGAAATTTCTTGTTTTTTGGATGCTTGTATCTTACTTTTTCATTGCATTAGTGGAAAGCAATTTGAATCCCAATACAAGAAAAAAACGGTGTGAGAAGAAAAGAGTAAAGAAAATGACTCGGTCAAAGAAACGGAAAGGTGTGGACCAGTGTGTCGTGTTGGAGAGGGTTGGCTAAAAGAAAGAGGTTGGAGGTTGCCACATGCAAGGATCTATTTTTAATGCCTAATAAAATACATTTAATTTTTTTTTTATCAAGTTAGCACCGCTAAGGAATTTTCATAATTTTTTTTTCTAATATTAGTCTTAAAAGTATTAATAGGGACACCCAACCTCATAGATCAATTATTAGATATATTTAATATTTAAATAATTATTAAAGTATAAATGATGGCAATACCATATTATTTCTCCTTTTTTTTTACCTTTCAAATTGTGCTTGTTAAAAAATAAAATGAAGGCACTAAAAACGTATTTATTAAATTTTTTTTGCTTTTTTAATTCAACTTTAATACATCTATGGTTAAATTTAATTGTTTATTGTTTTAATTGATAATATTATAGTTATAAGTTACGTAAAATTATAAATTTATAATTATAATATTATATTAATCAAATAAGTATATATAACATCATAATAAATTATAAAAAAAAAGTTAATTATATAATAATGTATTATATTATAAATTTATAATATCATGTAACATTAAAATTATAATATTTTTACTTCTTAATATAATATGTTTGATTTAAAAATTTTAATTAATTAAATTATTATATTTTAAAATATTATAATCTAATTCATAATGATAATCTTTTTTTTTTTCAAATCAAACATTCCTAGTAAAATATCATTAATGTATCATTAATGGATAAGTGAGCCCTAATATTATTAAGAGTCTGCAAGCGTAGGGCCGAACTGCAATTCAGTTTCGTGTTATAATAATAATAATATATAATTATTAGGCCTTTATTAAAGGATAAGTGAAATGAGAAAGAGCACAATGGTGAGTTTGAGGCCAAGTGGAAACGGAAAATAGAAAAGTCAAAATATGTGGGTGGATGGAGCCCACGTCTGTCGGCGAATTTGTTGCCTATCGACGTTTGCTTTGCCTTGGCTCCAACGTCAAACTTCCGTGGTGGAAAATGGCACCTAAAGTCGTCAATCATTATCATTTCATCTTTTTGACTCTTTGACACTTTGTTGCCACATTTCAACTTGTGAACTTCCAATTTTATCATCTAGCAAGGAACAAAAGGTCGTTGGGATTTAATTATTTTACTCTTTTTCTATGTTTTAATCACTTAATTGCATGTTTAATTTATTTAAGAATAATGATAAGGAAAACGAAAGACTTAGAATTAATGAAAATTTAGAATTAATGATGTTTTAAAAAAAAATTAATTATTATATAATATAAGGTCTACTTATGAGTGTGTTACATCATATTTCATAATTCATGCATTAAACAATGTCTCAATCTTACAAATATTAATTATGTGATGTGATGATTAATTCTCCCTAGTCTATACAAAGTTCACGTATATATATATATATATAAAGAAATTGGACATAAATAAGTCCTAAAACAGTTCTCGAGATCATCAAAGATAACAACTCCCATAAATGTTAAATGTTAAAGAGGTAATTTCAAAATTTAAAGAGATCACGTCTCTATAAAGTTGTGGATCAATTACAACTAGCATGCAAGATAAACTTAGGTACGTTTGATATAGCGATTTTGAAGTAGCAATTAGTGGTTTTATCTAAATCGTTAAATATGAGTATTTGATAAATTTATATATTTAATAAAATATTGTATGAAAAAAAAAAAATCCAACCTATTGTCAAACTAAACCTAAATTTAACTAGCCTAGTATAGATAAGTGATTGCATAAAGATTTACTACATATTTCAGCAGATAAATTATAGTCAATCATAATTTGATAATGGGATTTGATTTTAAGATGATAGGTATGTAGCATGAATCATTTTCCTCTTGACCAATTTTTAACCAAACCTACAACTTTTTAATGATCTTTTCAAGGGATAGGCTTCATTCAACTTGAATAGTTTTTAAATCTTAGCAACCAATCCTCTTAATTGAATTACAACAACGTACAACAAACTTGAGAAATCTAGACAAAACTCGAAAATGAAAGGTTTCAAACCGACGACAACCTAATAGCTACGGTCTTAACTCAGTTAGGTTCGCAATAATCTCATTGTTGTGGGCTTCACTCAGTTGAGTCCTAAACAACTTCAAAAGGAAGAAAAATCAGAATAAGAGGAAGAAGAAGAGAAGAAGAAAAACCAAAATTGAGAAAATAAAAACTTCTGTTAAAATCTTCAACGAACTTATATTTTCCATTGCCAAAATGGAAGAACAAAAATTTATTTTTACACACCCTACCAAGCGAATTGATCAATAATCATTATAAATACCCAGATTTCATACCAATTTATCCCTCCTAATTACTTTCCTTGATGCCAAGAAGATGAAGATTTTTCTAAGAAGAAGAAGCTTCTGATGAAGAAGGTGATGATGATGTTTTGTTCCGGCAGTACTGGAAGCTGTTTTCCTCCATTTTTTCCACAATGAAATGGGCAAGTGTGCCGTTGCGTTCGACCAAATTCTCTCTGCACAAGAATTCGTCCCCACATATCTTCTCCACTTCTCGGTAGTAATCGTGGACGAAGATATGGGTCTTTGGATTCCCACCCTTCTTGCTCCGTGCCAGCACTCCGGAGGTGAAGATCGGCGACATCCGTCCTGGGGATTCGGGGCCGTCACCGCGCGGTCCGTCGATCAAAATTACATTCCAATCGACTTCGTACACGTGGTTGGGCAAATCGTTGAGTCCGAGCTTGCATTCCGAGAAGAGAAGGTTCTGTACCGGCCGGCACTCGTTTTGGATTTGTTCCTTGGTGGCCGCGACGAGCTCTTTCGTTTCCTTCATCTTCGTCGTGTACTGCACATCGTACGCGTCGATTTCCGGATGCAATTGCTCGAAATACGCGGCGTAGTAGCGGTTCTCGTCAATGAACACCGTGCGGCCATTGTAGTTCAGTGCTTTCCAGAGAAGGGTCTCCGGCGTCAGCCCGAAAACAAGGAAATTGCAAGGGGAAGAACATTTTCTTAAAACATCAGAAATCTGCTTTATCTCGGAGTAAGCCATGTGGTAACTGTCGTTGGACTTCGAAGCGTAGTGGAGCAGGGTATTGATGACAGTCATCGGCAGCGGCGCACTCCCGACCGACGAATCAAGGCCAGCCACGGTTGCCGTAATGACGGTCGTTTTAGCCGACAACGAGTCCCTTGTATATATAAGGGTAACAAGAAAAGCAATTGTGAAGAACGAAACAAAAGCCAGAAGCCATAACCGATTGGAGCTCCCCTGTTTCTGAATATAAGGATGGAGAAGAATGAACTTGGTATTACCGTTATTGTTCTTCATCTTTCTTCCTTCTCTTTCTCAATATGGAGCAAGAATCAATGACCTCCTCCCTCAAATCACTTGGAGAAGATTTTGATTCCTGGAGGATTGAGAAAATTGGGTTTGATTTAAAGAAAGGATTGCTTCACATGTGATTGGAATTGGACAATGGATGCAGACTTTACATTACAATCAACCTATTATATTCTAGGAAAAAAACCAAATTCCACCACATGGGCATTAATACTGTGTTTTAAAAAAATATTGTATAGTTTACATGGTATAATACAAATTATTAAATTAAATAAATCTTAAAATATGAACAAACTCTTATAATTTAATAATAATTTTTTTAAATCGTATTGTATATAAATAAAGTGACGTAAAAAATATGAGAAAGTTATTTTTATCTACAACCAACATAAAAAAAATAATATAAACAAACTTCGTTATTTGACGATTTTGTGATTTACTGTTTGACTTATACACACGCTATATGCTTTGTTTCCATGCAATTTTTTTTTTCTTTGAGTAAAATAGTAGAGATATGATCGAAGCGATAACGACCCAAGAAGAAGACCGGAGGTGGGTGGTGGAAGCGGATGGTAGGGGCTACTGTTGCAGCGACCCTATAACTAATTACAAGCAGGAAGTCGCTTTTCCTTCTTCATTTCAGATTTGTTTTTCAAGTAACCTTCTTCGAAAATTCAATAATTAGTTGCCATTGAAGGTGACAAATCACCTGCAGCAGATTCTTGTCGCAAAAATTAAAAGGAATTGGAATGGTGTCAAATTTGGTGGACATTTTGGGTCTAAGATTAATGTTAAATAATGGATTATGTTGTTTTGGTTGAAGGGATGCCCTTGTTAATTAATACACGAAGTTGTTTTTTCTTCGTTGGTTGAAGGATGGGAGGTCTGTAGTTGTTATATAAGTTTTAATTAGACAACTTAATCACCACCGACTTCGTACATTTTGATTTTAATGATTAGAGATTGCCACAATACCAAACCTTATCAATGTGTATTAAACTTTTTTTTCTTTTCTGCCCAAAGAAAAGGTGAAATATTGAAAAACTATACTAGAAGAATATTATTTTTTTAATTTTAAGTTGTACAATAAAAAATAATTTTTTTATTTTTTGATTTTAATGATTAGAGATTGCCACAATACCAAACCTTATCAATGTGTATTAAACTTTTTTTTCTTTTTTGCCCAAAGAAAAGGTGAAATA